TTATATATATATATATATATATATATATATATATATATATATATATATATATATATAAAGAGTATGATATAGCGAATGGGGCAAGATGTAAATAATTGGTGAATCTGGTTAAAGATACATGGGAGCTCTTTATCTTGTTTTTGTAATTTTTCTGTAAATTTGAGATTATATGAAAATGTTAATACTATAAAAGAACAAAAAATATGTGGAATATTCTAGATTAAAGAAGATACAAAGAGACCTGTCAACTAAATGCAATAAATGATCTGTGGCTGGATCCTGGATCCAAAAGTAGTATTAGTAATCTATAAAGGATGTTATTGGATCAGTTGGGGATATTTTAATATGGGCTGTATATTAGATGGTATATTATTGTTAAATAGTACTACTATGAAGGTTGTGGTGCATTTATCTTTTGAATTAGAGTTCATCTTTTCCAGATACATGCCCAGGAGAGGGATTGCTTAATCAATGGTAGCTCTATTTTAAATTTCTTAGGAAACCTCCATACTGTCTTCCATACTGGCTACACCAGTTTACATTCCCACCAGCAGTATAGGAGGGTTCCTTTTTCTCCACACCCTTCCAGCATTTATTTTTTGTAAACTTTCTGACGATGGCCATTCTGACTGGTATGAGATGATACCTCATTGTAGTTTTGATTGGCATTTCTCTAGTAATTAGCAATATTAAGCACCTTTTCATGTGCCAGTTGGCCATGTGTATTTCTTTTTTGGAGAAATATCTATTTAGGTCTTCTGCCCATTTTTTGATTGGATTATTGGTTTTTTGATATTGAGTTGTACTAGATGTTTGTTTATTTTGGATATCAACCCCTTGTCAGTCACATCATTTGCAAATATTTTCTTCTACTCCATAGATTGTCTTTTCATTTTATTGATGGTTCCTGTGCTGTGCAAAGACTTCTAAGTTTATTAAGTCCCATTTGATTGTTTTTGCGTTTATTTCTTTTGCCTTGGGAAACCGATTTAAGAAAATATTGCTACAATGTATGCCTGAGAATGTTTTGCCTTTGTTCTCTTCTAGGAGTTTTAATTCGTGGTGTCTTTAGGTTTTTAAACCATTTGAGTTTATTTTTGTATATGGTGTGAGGGAGTTTCCTAATTTCATTGATTTACATGTAGCTGTGCAGCTTTCCCAACACCACTTGGTGAAGAAAGTATCTTTTCTCCATTGTACGTTGTTGCCTCCTTTGCCATACGTAGACTAATTGACTCTAGGTGTGTGTGTGGATTGATTTTTGGGCTTGGTATTCTCTTCCATTGTTTGTCCCTGTTTTTAAAATGGGGAAACTGAAGCTTTAAAAGGCTAGGTGACTTGCTCAAGGTCACACAGCTAACTGAAGGCAGCATTCAAGCTCAGGCTGTCTTGACTCTAGAACCCACATTCAATTGCTGTACCATTTTGTTCAGTAAAACACAGCAAATACATTTGTTACAAGCAACCAGATGACAGTTATTTTTTCAGTAGTGATCAGAGTGTAAAGGTAGCCATAGGAGACCAATACACTGACAGTTTGGACCTGTGAAAATGTTAACCTCTCCTCAGTTTCTAGAGGCCCTCTAAATTTAAAGGAGGTAAATTTAAAGAAGGCAAAATGACATATTTGATTGTGAGGGAAGGGTGTTCTTGTCAGGAGAAAGCATGGAAGAAAGTTTGAAAATAGATGTTTTTCAGGATTGTCTAATCTAGTATACTGTTTTCTCTGCTTGAAATACTTCTTTTCTTCTCTTCATTCTGGCCCATCCAGAGCTTATGTGAATCTTACTTGGCCATCCAAACCCAAAAGGAATGCTTCTTTCCTCTGTAGTATTATAATACTTTTAGGTATTCAAAAAGTGCCAAACACTAAGGATGCAAAAATGAATAAAGTATGGCGTCTCTGTTGAGGGAATCACTTATTTTTATGTACCATTTATTTGCCTGTTATTTAAAGATTTGAATTTGTTTTTACTTTTTTAAGCATAGTTTCTACTAAGATATGAGCTTTCACAATGATTATTACCTACTTATTATACCTGTCATATATTGTAAATGCAGCTTTCTTTTAAGGATTCAAGCTAAATTTAAGAAACGGCATAATTTGAAAACATGCAATTTCAATTGTAATATATATAAATATATAACTTTTTTGTTGGTAGGTTGTTCCAGTTTTGGTGCATCTTCTGTCTGCTATCAGCAGTGTTAGGCTTTACATTCCTAAAGACCTTCGACCACTGGACAATAGACAGAGTGTCTTAAAATCAATACAGGTATACATGTTAGTTTTATAAATTAAATATCAATTTTATGTAAACATAAATAGGGTTTGTAACAAGGCAACTGAAATCCTTTTAAATACTGCTTTCTTCCAGAAACTATAAATACCACTAATAGTGGCAATTATTTTTAACAAAAATAGAGGCAGCAGATCTACATGTAGATTATCATCTCTAAATCTGCCAACAAATTGAATTTAAAGGAGGGTTTACAAAGGAAAGTGTGCCCACTGTTGTATGTTAAATATGTTTTGCTTTATTCATTATGAGTGAAGATAATTATAGATATATTAAAAGTTTTATGTATAAAATCAGGTGCCAGGGCTTTTAACCACTTTTTAATATAGTTAATAGATGGATGAGATAGTTTTATTTTCAGTATGAAAAATTGAAACTTTATAATTTAATTTAAGGAAACTTTGTTGGTTATTTAGTCAATAAATATTTGAAAAGCATTCACTGTGTAGCAAAGACACTATACTAGAATCTGAGAAACAGGATGCTTTCAGTGTAGAGTAGGAATTTTTAAGCTGTAGTCCGTAGGTAGGTTTCCTGAAATGAATAATTCTCTTGACAATTTTACAAAAAAATATTGTGTTTAACCGTTTCTGTTTTTCTTTTCTTGTTCTTGTTCTTTTCTTTTCTTTTCTTTTTTTTTTTAATTACTGACTGGCCAAATCCTGTCTTACCTTTAAAGCCTGTCCAAGACACCAGAAGTCTCCCAGTGGGATACCAGCCTACAGTGACCTATCTCTTCTCTGAACTCACATTCTCATTAAACAGTTCAATCACGTTTAAAACAAAATTTTTTAGCAGTAGGGATCTTGACCTTTGAAAAACTTTGTATCTTTCAACTCCAGAGTGCCCTCCATAGGAATCAGTCCCAAGGAAATAATCAGAATATTGAAAAGAATTTATACTTGAGATGTTTGATACAGGATTATTTATAATGGCAAAAAATTACAACAACCTAAATATACAAAAAGGGGTTTTATCCAATAAGTTTTACCACAGCCAGACCTATTAAGCTCTAAATATTAGAAATATTAGTAAATTATTATACATCTCCATATCAATAAACCATAGTAAAATAATTTAAAAGGACTTTTCATAAACGAATGCAGTAGAAAAATGCACTCTAAGTGGGAAATGCAAAATTATACATATAGCATCCTCTTTATGTCTGTGTGCATAGAATAAACATAAAAGGAAATTTGATTTAGTTTAGTCTTAACTAATTTTATCTGTAAGATGAAAAATGAATTTAAAATATTTTCTTTCAGGAAGTTCAGAAGCGTTTTCCTGATGGTGTTCCTTTATTAGATCCTATTGATGACATGGGCATTCAAGATCAAGGGCTGAAAAAAGTCATCCAGAAAGTAGAGGCTTTTGAGCATCGAATGTATTCTCACCCACTTCATAATGATCCAAATTTGGAAACTGTGTATACTCTTTGTGAAAAAAAAGCACAGGTATGGCAGAGACTTACTTTTTATCATAGAATTCTGTGTATTTTACTAAATAAATGAGTATATATTTTTCATTTTCTTTTCCTGTTGGTTTCATCAGGTAAAACAGGAAAATGTCTAGCTATTTTTTAAGTAAACTGTCAACTCATAAAAGCAAAACAAGATGATCATTTTGAGATGTCATTCATATAACATTCACTCTTTTAAAGCATACACTTCGTGGGTTTTAGTATATTCAGCTATCTGTAGCCATAACCACTATTTCCAGAGCATTCTCCCTAACAAAAAGAAACCTCAGACCAATTAGCAGTCATTCCCCATTTCCCTAACCTCCAGCCCCTGACAACTACAGATCTACTTTCTGCCTCTGTTGATTTGCCAATTCTGTAGATTGCAAATAATAAAATAATACAGTATGTGGCCTTTGTGTCTGCCTTCTCACACTTAGCATAATGTCCTCACAAACGATCCACATTGTAGCATGTATTCCTTTCTATGGCTGAAAAATATTCCATTGTATGTGTATACCACATTCTGTTCAACCATTCATCAGTTGATGGACATTTGGAGCTTTTCCACTTTTGGCTATTATGAATAATGCTACTATGAACATTTGTGTACATGTTTTTGTGCAGACATATGTTTTCATTTCTCCTGGGTAGAATTGGGTAGGATTGATGGGTTAGATTAACTCTATGTTAACTTTTTGAGAAACTGTTTTCCAAAGTGGGTATACTATTTACATTCTTAGCAGCGATTTATTAGAGTTCCAATTTGTCCACATTTTCACCAACATTTTTTATTGTCTGTGTTTTTAATTATAGCCATCCTAGTGGTATGAAGTAGTAGTTCACCTTTTTAGGGTAATTAGCTATATTCTCTAACCAGTAAAAGCATTCTTACAGCCATTTTGAATAAAGAATTTAGAAGAAAACTTTTCAAGATGAGCATATTCCTTCCCACTATCCACTTCTCCAACTAGAATCTTTTGTATGTATAAATGTCATTTCTTCCTTGAAATTTGTAAGTCCTTACTGCTATGCTTTTTCAACTTCTGTCACCTGCCACTTACATCACATTTGTCTTCCTGTCTGGCAAACTAGATTTTAAGCTCCTTAGGTTCAGGTGTTTCATTTTAGCTTATTTGTACTCTTCCTTATCTCCTGTAATGATCTACCTTTATAAAGTAGATACTTAGTATTTATTGAATAAATAATATGATAAGGAACTTCTTGGCTTAATAGAGTAATGTGTTTGGTGCGTAGTTTTACAGCACTGCCTCTTTCTAGCTTTTTGTGAACTAACATAATGTGGCCCTGTGCCACGCTGGCCACAGCAGGTGTGTTCTCAGTAAACATTTAATACACCATGAAGATTTCTTCTCAAGGTGAGGAAACTGAGACACAAAAAGCTTGTATATTCAGTTGTGATCCTGGCCTGCTCATCTCTCACTGGGACCATTGCAGCAGCTCCCCTGATGCTTCCAGTTAACTCCCTACATGGTCACTGGAGAGTCAGCCTTAACAGTTCCCAAACACAAGAACAGAGACTTGAGTTTGGTTGAATGGTGACTGGAAAGTATCCATGGAGAAGGTAGTTTGAAACCACAGAGAGAGGCATCATATGAACTACTGAGATATAACTGAAAAAGACCCTAGTGTCTGGTTGAAAGACTGGCTAAATAAACTTACGAAGATTCTGCAATACATGAAAAATATATTTCCTTGTGAAAGAGCATTAAATGAAAAAAGTAGGACCTAAAACCAATGTGGACTGTGATTACAATTTAGTAAAAGTAAAAACATACACTGGAAAAGTTGAAAACCTTAAGTGGTTGTCTTTGAGCAGTGAAATTATATTATATCTCCCCTGCCCCCATTGTCTGTAATGTGCTTATATTGTATTTCCTAATGAAGGAATACTACAAAGAGTTACCATTGTTTGTAAAAGGAAATGAATATAAACAGCCTCAGTGTTCATCAGTAGAGAATTAAATACATGAATTATGCATATATTCATAGTGAAAATCAATATAGCTATTAAGAAGAGTGAGGTAAATATATATGTACTCTTTGGAAGAGAAGTCTTAATATATTCAGTGGAAAAGGAAGCTGATCTCACTACTGTGGGAAAAGCCCCAGGCACGGATATCTGTGTTCTTCTAAAGTGTGTAGAAAAAGATGCAGAATATGACACAACACTGTAAAATGATTATGAATCAATAAAAAAAAAAGATGCAGAATAGCATTGTCCGATAGAAATATAATACAAGCTACTTAAGTAATTTTAAATTCTTTAGTAGTCACATTTTTCTAAGTGAAAAGAAACAGATGAAATTCATTTTAATAAGATTTTTATTTAACTCAATATATCCAAAATATATTTCAACATGTAATCAATATAAAACTTATTTAGATAAAAATCCTAAATAGTAGACTCTTTTCTACCAGCTTAGTAGGCATTATATACCTCTGAGTACTTAGCACAGTCTTCTGTTCTGCTCATATTATTGGTATACTCAATCAAAGAAACTTTAGGAAACATTTTTTTTTCTGATAGCCCTGATAAGTCAGGCTAGGTAGTAGCATAGAGTTACCTAGGAAGTAACATAGGAAGTGTTGCTTCTTAGCCTCATAGTGTTATGACAGCACATCTGTTCATAGCAATATAAATAACTGCCAAGAGTTTAGAGTCTAGATTCTGACAGCCTTTTTGAACCCCGTCTTTATCACTCACTAGCTTTGTCACTAGCTTGACCAGTTTACTTAGTAATCTCTCTCTCTCTCTGTTTTCTCATCTGTAAAATGCAGATTTAATTTTAGTTACTTACCTCTTATGATTGTTGTAAGAATTAAATGAAATAATGTTAAGCACTGGAAATACGGTACATCGTTAGCTATCAATAAATGCCAGTTACTGACTACTGTCGTTGCCTTTATCATTTCTACTCCTCAACTGAAGCTTAATAAATTATCTACAGAATTCCAGAGTCAGAATTTCAACTTAATCCTGAACTTCTTTGTCAATGTTTCTCTGAACTTCAGGCCTCCACTTCAGGATCCCAGTATTTTCTTGCTCTTACACTATCATCCTCTGTCACAGTTGAAAAGTATGTAATGTTTACAGATTAACGGAATTTTAAATCTCATCCACTCTAAAGGATGACCTCAAAATTGATTTTCCCTTTAAGTTTTATCTCTGTCTATAGAATAAAGACCTATTCTCTCTGCTAAATCCATTTCCATCCGGGGCAAATAGAAGGAATACTTTTCAGGGCATCAGGAATCATGGGGAAAATAGAAGTAGTCAAGAGACAAGCTTCATATACTCTCATCTTTCTTTCCCTGTTGTCTAAGTTACCCCCTGATTCCCTAAGGATGAGAAGCTGGAGCTGATGTGATTGCTACTTTAGGAGTATGGGTATCTTATGCATCCTGTCGTGGGAGACCCTATCCTAATTCGCACTGACTTTCTGGTTCCTGCAGGTTACCTCATTTAGCTTATGGCCAACCACCTCAGTCCTCTCCTTCTAGACCTTCCTCCTTACCCTCCTCATTTAAGCAAGAGTCATGCTCTATGCCCAACTTCTTAAGCTTTTAACAACTCCTAAATCTCCCTGCTCTGCCTCGTGTTTTTGAAATGGATATTTTATATTTCCCATATAGTTAACATTTTTGCTGATATTTAATAACCTCAGATACATCATTCCTCTTGTGTAATATCCTGGGACAGTATCTAAGAAGCTCCTATATTCCCCTTCACCGCCCCCCAGTGTAATAGTTTGTTTCGTTTCGTGACTAAATCTCATTTTGTTTGCTTTATTATTGAACTTCCTTTATACTTTTATATGCCTTAGATTGCTATAGATATTAAATCTGCAAAGCGAGAACTAAAGAAAGCAAGAACTGTCTTACAAATGGATGAGCTCAAATGTCGCAAACGTGTTTTAAGGAGGTTGGGATTTGCTACATCTTCTGATGTCATAGAGATGAAAGGACGAGTGGCTTGTGAGATAAGCAGGTAAAACTTGATTGTTCTGGAAAACTGACTTTCAAATGGGAACTGTTTTTTTTTAAAGAGGGCTATTGATCTTTTGGCAGAAGAGCTGTCTTAAAAATAGAAAGTTTGTATAGTACCTCTCATGTTAAATACAGGTTTTGACCATGAAGTTGAAAATTTAAAAAGGGAGAATAAAAATCTCTTGGATCTGACTAATTAACACAAACACCATTAGCATTTACATATATTTCCTCTTTATTTTAATGCATTATGAAATTTTTACATGATTGTAATCTTAGTTTTATACATGATTTTATATACTTTTTTTTAGCAATTAGGAATGTTTTCCCACCTTGAAACTTAATCTAATAATCATTACCCTTTTTTATGTAAAGTTTTGGACTAGAGTATTATAGTATAGCATGTTACAGACCTCAGTTTAAAACTGGATATTAGCTACTGTCAATTGGATATAAGTTATTGTCTATTTTGATAATCTTTGCCACATTACAAGTGACCTTAAAACTATATAACTTAAAAAAACAACAGTTATTTCATTCTCCCTGGTGGTTTCTGTGGGTCAGAAATTCTGGAATGGCCCATTGGATGGTCTGGCTCAGGGTCCTATGTGATTGCCATCATCCTGAAGATAAATGTTTTGCTGTAGTCATGAATATTCTCAGTGAGTCCATAAAAGACATTTTGAAACAGCTTTTTATGTTCTCACCATGGCCCTAGTAGATGGGGCCAGAGAATTACAAACCTTGTATATGATTTTGGACATTCCTGAAGAAGGCTTATTCATACTGTTCTTGTTGTTCATACAGTTTAGGTATGAATTCAGATGTCTGAAGGGGCCACAATTCTGTGGCAAACAGGACAATTCTTGGCCACCAAAAAGGGGTCAGTGACTACCCATTACCAGTCAGTTATTACAGAATAATGTGATATCAGATTTTTCAACTTAAAAAAGCCCCAAATCCAGAATTTTAGATGCAGTCTCTTGATTTTTAAATTTTTACAAGCTAACTCCAGTTTTGTTTTGTTTTTTTAAGTCACTGTGCAAGCCAAATGAAACATTTCTTCAGTTAGACTTGGCCCACAGGCTTGAAGTTTTCCTTCAACCTGTGATAAAATTAAGCTTTCCTACTTTGTAATTAAAGACACCTAGGCACTGTAAAGTTAATAATTTATCCAGGATTAAATCTAGACCACAACACTGGTCTGCTGATTTGTATGCCAAAGTTAATGTTACTGAAATTATTTCTTTGTGATATTATGTAGTATTTAGTAATTAATAAAGAAATTAATTTCTCTCAGATGTCTGCAGCTAGATTTAGCCTTGGAAGAAAAGATACTGATTTTATCCTGAAATAGAATATTTAGGGAGAGAGGGAACAAGAATACATATCAAAGTATGTTACCTTTCACCCCAATTTGCCTCTCCCTCTTGTCGGTCTTGCTGAATAAATAAGACCCTGCCACTGAAGGCAAAAACTGGAGAGTCATCTTCAACTCCTTCTCTCTCTTCCTACTGTCTTCCCACATCTTCCTGATTGTTTTCTCCTACCTCCATGCTGTTTTAACTGTTCCCACTGACTAATGTTTATTGTCTGAAGTATTGCAGTAGCCCTCCTGACTATTCGTTGACTCTTGTCTTAAGTCTCTACAACCCATATTTTATACTCTTACTTTCAGAATATTCTTTCCAAAGCACAAATCCCACCGTGTTACTCTTTAGATAAAAGTCTCTCAATGATTTTTGTATTGCTTTTAGAATAAATTCCATAATTTAGTATATTCTTGCCCTTCCCTCTCTAGCCTGTTTTTTGTCTGCACATGGTGTTTCTTTCATTTAGCATGACCTTTCCTTCACTCCCCTTTCCTGTATTTTTTTTTGAGATCTTCCAAAACTTGGTTTTAGCTTCTTCAATTTGATTTTAGACCTCTCAACATTTTTTTATAGTTGCCTATGTAAATCTCTGTTAAATTGCTGTCCTGTGATTATTGTCTTTCTTGTCTGCCTCACACATTAGAGTGTAGAAGTAGTCTTGTCTTATTTGTATTTTTGTCCTTTTGGCTTGATTTAACTGTCAGTTTTGCATTAGGAACCTAAATTTTGTTTTTTACTTTATTTTTGAATAGTTATAACTGTTTGTAAAGTTTGATAGTTCGTGGCTTTATTCTTTTTTAGAGTTCCTCCCCAAAATAGAAAGTTTGTCATTTGTTTTTTTTTTTAGAGTAATGTCCTTAACAGTTACTGAATGGATGGATCCATTAAACCTTTATATAAATGTAAGATGCTATATGGAACCTTGATTTTGTTCTAAAGACACCATCTTTGTAGTCTTTTTTAGCTTTCATTGAACACAGTTGAGAATTCAGAATTTTTTTTCTACCCCATGATGGTAAAGGTAAAAATAACAGAAAAAGATATTTTGCAATTATTACACAAATCAGAGAATTAACACAGAGACAAAAAGCACTCTAGGCAAGGTGATAATGATGAGATTGATCATATAAGCAAAATCTCAGGTCCTAGGTAAATTCTCAACTCAATCAGTGAGTGGATAATCTGTTTCTAAGATCAGGAAGAAAATTCAAAGTTTTTGTTAGTTTTACTCTCCTTTATGTTCGACAGGAGAGACTTCAGTTACGTAATGTTTTCTGATAAGAACTTGGACCATCCCATTTTTCCAAAAAGGACTTGTGACTGTATTTTTCATCTTTTATGATTGGTGTGCTAACATTTCCTTGATACAGTTCTTAGGTAGTCAAATACTGAAGATAGTTGTAAGTACAAGGAAACTGATAAACTGATGATAAAAAGATGAGAATAATTTATTGGATTGATCACTTATCTTTGTAATATAAATCTGTTATCTTTATAATATAAGTCTGGATGTGAAAATGCTGTACAATAATAGAGCAAAGAAGATGGCCTTTCTTCAGTGAAATTATGACTTGTCAAGTCTTTTAAAATATTTTATTTAGATGATGCAAAAGAAGAACTAAAAATAATAATAAGCTAAAACCTAAAAGATATATTTAAAATCTGGAGTCAATAGTATGTTTCAACAATGTAAGTGCAAGAAGAAACAGAAGTAATGATGAGCTAGTACCTATTAGAGAAATGTTTGAAATATGGAATTGTATTTACTAGGTGGATATAGTCCAGATTCATGAATGACAGTTGAGCAGCAATTTGTTACATTCTCAACACTGGGAAACGATAAAATATGTGTCTGCTATGGGTACATTCTAATTAAGATTCTAATAAAGTTTTTCATTGTCTTTGTTTTTTTAATTATTTATGAAATAACTTAGAATTGAAAACAGTCAAAAAGGTCCTTGGGCCTGAATAATAGTAGTGACTTTTTTTCTGTATTCTAAGAGTTAAGAAATGGTTCTTTATTGCAGTGAATATGCACATTTTGACGTTTACTTTTTATATGAAACACCCATTTTGCATTTATTATTTATATATTGGTAAGTATAAAGACCTGCCATTTCCTCAGTAAATCTTTGTCACTCCTCATAGCCAAATAACATATTTTATTTAAAACTACATCTTAAGGTTGTGTGGGTACATATGTGTGTTTTTGTATTCTGACATTTGGAATTTATTCTCTTTTTTTTTTTTTTTGTCGTATGGCGGTATAGTGCTGATGAACTTCTTCTAACTGAGATGATGTTTAATGGCCTTTTCAATGACCTATCTGCAGAACAGGCAACAGCACTACTAAGCTGCTTTGTGTTTCAAGAGAATGTGAGTTAATAGATTTTAGCACATCTTATTTTAAGAAATTAATTTACAACCCTATAATTTAGTATTACTGTGGATATTTTTAATGATAAAATATACTTTATATTTACATGAGTAATGTTAATTAGAAATCAGTATAACTTTAACACGAATATATAGTATAAGAGAGAAATAATTAAATGCATATTATCAAAAGAGAGAGTAAAATAGAACTCTATTTGTAGACAGTCATCATTAATCAGCTTCCAAGTTATAAATTTGCTCTATAACCCAATGTATTATTTGAAGGTGTAGCCTAATCAGTCCTAGAAAGAAAAAGAAAAGGTAAAATCGGGAAAAACTAGTAAAAATGTATGGGGAATGAAATTTTGAAGTACTATCCCTCCTCCCACTCTTGAAGAATAACTGTGAAGCAGCTGATCCAGCTAGAGGCTGAAGTCTTAGTTTTCATAGCTAAGATTTGAGGTAATAGCCATAAAATTCTCATTGTTGGTTTAGCATTTTTTTCATGTGAGTAGTTGATTTTTAACAGCTCTTGAGAAATCAAAAAATGAAGTGCTGGATCGAAAACCATAAGAACACTAATCATTGTTTATTCCAAAAGGTAGTATGATTTGTTTTAGAAAGTAAAATGCATATTTCACATTTCAAAGTTAAAACTGTATTCATTGTGCATGCAACAGACAAAATAGTAAGACAAGGACATTTACCTTCTAAAAATAATTTAATGTTGCTATCTAAATTTTTAGAGAACCTTTTACATTTAGTTAAACTTTTAAGTAGTAAATTGTAAGACAAATTGTTTTTTTCAGTTCTGCCATTGATCTGTTTACTTGTTAACTATTTCCTTATTTTTAACCATATAAAATATGTAACTTCTTGAAGTAGGTAGGTATTTTCCTCTCAGCTCTCTGATTACAGATTAGATTTATAACTATAGTGACAATGATTAACAAATAGCATAGTAATCCAAAAACGATTTCTGCTCTTGAGAATGCCTATTATGCACCTATGAAGTAACTTAATTTGCACATGAGGAATGCATTTCTTTACAGGATGTTTTGTTTGGCTATTGTTTGCCTTAGGTTTGAAATTTTATTGTATCATTTTCCAAGATAATTGTTAAGAATGTTTGTCAATTTTCTTTGAACAAATCTAAGATTTAGAGATTATTTGGAGTTTGGTGGTCTTCTGCCTGTGTCAGACTTTGTCTTGTGGCTAATTGCTTATATTGTGCTCTTTCTTTCTTTTTTAATGTCGCACTACAAAAATCCTGTCTTCTGAGAGGCCAAATATGTTACCTCCTCACAGGTGTTGGGCCACAATTCTTCTTAAGTCTTGGGCCAAGATGTCACTATATGTAGTTAAGATTTGTTCAGTGAAGCCATACTGTGTTATATGTGGTGTCATCAATTCTTATGGTGGTGCCTTTCAACATCAAATTGGATATTTTGTTAATACTTTTAAAAATATGCTTTCTATTCAGAAAGAAAGGTAAATAGAGTAAGATACTTATTATAAATAATATATGGTCTGCTTGATATGTAACTTCTGTTTAAAAATATGTTGCTTCTAAAACTGTGCCCCCACATTTTTATATCATTTGTATTATTCAGAGTAATTTAAAGATTATATGTAGTCTTTATAATATAAATATCAGGTACTTATAAGTACTTATTAACCACCCACTGTGCAATGCAGAGATCTAGGCACTAGAGAGACAACAAAAATTTTTGCTTTCATGATACTTATATTCTAGTGGATGAAGATAAACAATAAAGAAATAAAGTATACATATATTATGTAAAAAGGAAAGAGGGTTTTGGAGAAAAGTAAAGCAGAGGAGGCAGATGGAAATCACCAAGGGGATGGGGTTGCTGTTGACCATGAACGGACTCAGTATCAAAGATATTTACAGTCTTGTGTTCTTTTCACTTTTAAACTGAGATGTTGAGTTCATTCTGGCCATTTTGCTTTTTTCTGATTCATCACAATTTTTTGTTTGTTTTAACAGGAATAATAACCTGGTTCATGATTTATTACATTATATACATATGTATATGTATATATTCATGTTACATATCAAAACGAAGTCCAGTATACTGTATACTGATGCTTAATATAAAGGCAGATCTATTGGAACTAATCTGTAATTGCTTTTTTGAATTTACATATAATTTAAATCATGTTTCACACATGGATACGTACATTACCTTTTTTATAATAATTTTATTTTTGTATAATAAGTCTACCTTTGTCAAAATTTGCCCCTTAATAATGTCTTTATTCTAATCACAATCCAATAGGTTTTGAGGATCTGAGCTTATTGTTTCTCTTTGACAGCTTAAGAAGCCAACAGGGAAAGCGTACAGCTTAGTGGTAGAGTGCATGCTTAGCATTCACGGTCCTGGGTTCATTCCCCATTACCTCCATTAAAATAAATAAATAAACGTAATCCTCCCCCTCAAAAAAAAATTAGAAAAAAAATGTTTTAAACCTTAAAAAAAAAAAACCCAACACACAGAATTCAAGCAGCTAGTCTAAGTTCATATGACAAGTTAGTAATAGACCTGAAACTCCTATTATTCTAATTGAGAAGTTGATGGACTTTTCACTATTGGGAAGACAATATTAAGAATACTAAAACTCATGCTAAACTTTTAACTGTCTTAAAAGTAGTTAGAGAGCTAGAAAGAGCTGAGTAAAATTAAAATTGAGGGCATTATTTATAATGTTCTTTATCCCAGATTTTCAGTTTCTACAGATTGAGAATTGCCTAGAAGCCAAAACTTTCAAAAATCAAACAGTGATACAACAGTTTATAAATGTTGATGTAACTAAACTACTGTGCATGTTTACAGTATTTGCTCTCCTTCAGTTCCATTTATGGGGACAGAAAATAGCACACTTTACAAATTTAGAAGTGGAATCTTTTCCTCTGAAATATAAGAGCATAATATAATTCAGGATGAGAGGAATGATAATTTTGCTTACATAACCTAGAAGTTGATTGGAAACACCAAATGCTAATGACTGAGGTCTTATAATTTGAAATTAATGGATATCATGAAAGCTTTGTTTTTGTTAAAGCAGGTGGGAAATACTGCATTTTAAATTTGGGTTTTTACATCTACTCTGTTTTCTTTTACAGTCTAGTGAGATGCCAAAATTAACAGAGCAGTTAGCCGGACCACTTCGTCAAATGCAGGTAAGGTTTTTTGAACTACATATTTTGTGAATAGTATATTGTGAAATAAACGTTTTTGACAGTCTAATCATAGTATTTATCATTCCACAGAGACAGCTTCCTTCAGGATTAAATATGTCATTTGATGTTAGTCTTGTCATTTAATGCTATTTTGATAACATCATTTCTAATTTTTATTTTAAAAATTAAACATTTTCCCCCACGAATATGATAAATTGTATAGAGTGAGTATCTGTGAATGCAGATTTAGCATTGCGTATGTAGATAGGCCATACTAACAATTCAGTGCCTGCATCATTTTCCTTGGTGCTATGAATGGCATCTAGATGGGCTAGGTTTTAGTTAGCTTATTTTTTTGTACATTTTTTCATCCTACCTTACAACAAATTTTAAAATCAGGTTTTAAAATCTGTTTTAGACTAAGAAATGATTTATTTCTGGGTCCTCAGAGCCACAGTAGCTCATAGTAATGAATTGGTGTCTTTATAAGAAATTTAAACTTCCAGAACCAGGGGAATCTTTATTGCTCTAGGAATTTTTGACCTTTTAGATTACCGAGGAGTAAAGAATGAATCTAAATTCTCATTGTAGGGAAAAGAAAATACTGAGATTTACATTTTTAAAAGTATATTTGGGGAAATAGCATCTTTTTGCCCATAAGATTTATGTTTCTCTGTTTTGTTATTGTTATCTTTATTTTGCTAATGAAACAATTAGAGATTATTAAATGTTACTCTTGAATAGTTTTAATGAAGAGTTCTGGTTTTTGTAGAAGGTCTTGCTCTTGATGTTTTTCTTAAGGACTTTAACATAGTGGGAAAGCTTTGCTGTTTGATCCCTTAGCAGTGTTAACAGGCACTGTGGCTACTTAGAAGCAGAATATCCAAATTGTGGGCTTATTACCTAGGAAGAAAAAGGAACCTTGTAGAATGCTGACTTTGGAAACCTAAAGAAAAAGTGGTAAGAGAGATCATAAGTAAGACATTTTAAGTGTATCTTTTATCTTCAAAGGAATGTGCTAAAAGAATAGCAAAAGTTTCAGCAGAAGCCAAATTGGAAATTGATGAGGAGACTTACCTGAGCTCATTTAAACCTCACTTAATGGATGTGGTATATACTTGGGCGACTGGAGCTACATTTGCCCATATCTGCAAAATGACGGATGTTTTTGAAGGTATGGTTAAATTTTGTATGCATGCGTTTTTTTCTGATAAGAGAAATCTACTTAGGATGGCATTGATTCACTGAACAAGAATGAGATCTTATTTTCAGTTTTTGGTCATAAAAGGGAGTCTTCTGCTTATGTAGATCAAAAATAATCTCCATAAACCCTTTGTATTATTTAATAAACACAGTCTGCTCATTTTAACAGTTTATAATCTTATGCCTATGTCTGCAATCACAGATAAACAGATGATCCTAGTAAGTCCTGTTTGTGTGGGTGTTTTTACTTTTGGTTTTATTCTCCTGGTAATAACCTATTGGCTTACTATATAATTCCACTAAAAAATGACACAGTTGAAAATGCTGTCCCTCGTTGCATTTCTAATAATAGTTACTCAACTGAAAAAAAAATTTTTAATGAAAAAGTAAAGGAAGTATATAAGGGGCGGTCATAAGTGAATTATAAGAAGTAAATACTACTCACAGTAATTAAAGAAGACCGTATTTAGAAACGCTGTATTTGTTGTAAAAGAAATTGGCTTATGTAGATTTTTACAATGGTAAATTGTGGTTACGTTGACCCTTCTTAAAAATGAAAATTAATGAGCTTGGGCTTCACAGAGATTATTATAAGAATATGTAAAATATTACTTGTAAGTCTGTTCTGAGAAGAATTATATTTTTAACACACCCCATATTAGGCTTTTTACCTGATATTATTACTAATAGATTACTGTGTTTATGAATCAGTGATTTGTATGATGCGTAGGTTAAACATCTCTGCCACAGAATCAACCATGAACCTTTACTGCATTGAATTTTATGGGTTTTAAAGTTTTAAATATTGTAGTTTACAGTATATTATTTTGTAATTGTGGTATGCTGTTTTAATCCTTTCCCTAAAGTTTATTTCTGAGCCTCCATTAAATGATCATTATTTAATATGGTCCCAGAATCGTCCTCTGAATACTCTATTCTGTTACTGGGAAGGTCATTATTTATTACCTGCTATGTTCCAGACATTGTGCTAATCAGCATTTTATATAATTTAGATCTAATCACCAAAATAGCACATCAGAGTAGATATTATTTGCACTTTACACAGGGAGACTAAACTTAAAAAGGTAAATAATTTGGCCAAGGTCGTGGCGGTACAGAATGGCACTATGATTTGAATTCTGGCCTCTGTGACTGCAGGTCACATGGTAGTTGATAACTTCATCTAAGAACTATAATACTTTATTCTTGAATTTTGGATCACCCAGAGACTTTTAAATACTATCCTAAATTATACATACTATCTCCATCCACTGAAAATTCGTGCTTGTAGGAATGGTAAGCAGGTCTGTAATAATTCATGGTGAGTAGCTATAGTTGAGGCTGTGAGTAGAGGGAAGCATGACATCCTCACCGCGTTTGTGAATTTTGCCTAACACACAGGAACCCTAGATGTTGATGGCTTATGTGTTTTAGAGGCCCAAAGGCAATCCCTAAATTCTAAGACTTTTAAATATAATAGCGCATATTTATATAATACCTACTTCTCTGAGAAGGTGAACACACCACATGAAACAATAGTGGTGTGTAGTGGAGAGTAGTTTTTGTTTTAAGAAAAATGAAAGGGCAATAGACATGGAGATCTGGGGAGCCTTATGAAAAATTATCTTTGTGGATTATTTTTTATTCCTTATGCTTAAATGGAAAAGTTATCACTATATGGAAGATAAATCCTAAACTGCTAAAATTGAGGACAGTTTATATTTCTGCTACCTATGAGTTGATGTTTTCCACAACATACTAGCATTTCTGAAATGTATTTTGCCTCCTTTCAATTCCGTGGGGCTATTTTGACGCACAGTTTGCCTGAGAAAGCTAAGTTTGAAAATTGAGGACTTCACTTTATAACTATAACTTGAAATTGGGTCTAACTTCAGCATAATTTTCATGGTGCCATTATATCAGCTATACTTTTTCTAAAATTGGGATATACTATATATATTAGCTCATAAAAATAAAATATAACTAAACATCAAAAAAAGTCATTGAGAATCTTGATTTACTTAAGATAGAATTTTCTTTTTCTAGCATACTTTCTCCTCACCACCAACCCCCTTTTTTTTTGAAAGATGTTGTTCTTTCATTTCAGAATAGCCATTCTCTCTTCATCTTGTTACTGTACATGCTTTATATAATTGGAAAAATACTGTTCCCAAAGCTCTAGCCCATGGTTATAGCGTGTCTTTATTTTTACAAGCAGAACTTTTTGATTGGAACTTTTTAATGTGCTACGCTCAAGTGTCTGATCATGTCATGTCATGAGCCTCAGAAGTAGTTTTAAGTATTTTTCAGACATTAGATGGGGCTAGTTAACCTTGTAATGAGTAACACTGTATGTTTAGGGACTATCTCATGTAAGAGAAGAGTTTATACTGTGATTCAGTTGAGGAGTTTTGAAGACTTCATACAAATAATTATTTCCTCTGTTATCACCCTGAAAAAAGTCATAAAATGTAATTGTTTCTTAGTTCCATCAAACTAAATTTGAGTAACAGTTGGAAATATATTTGTATGGGCTACAGCCTAGGGTTTCAGTCTACTAACCAATCCATGTAGTAGGGCCACTGTAATCTAGACAGGGGCCATTACTATTTCTTTCTTTACAAAAACAATATTGTACTCTTCATACAGTGAAGAGTACAATATTGTTTTCGTAAAGCATGAAGAATTTGCTATCCACTAAGCACATGTCATCAGGAAAGCTTCTATGACAAACTGTCACTTGAAACTGTTGACGCTATTTCTGCCTGCCACAGGTTTTTAAAGCAAACATTGTGTGTTGCATTCCCACTCTCTACCCCCACCACATGCTCTTCTCAAATGCCTGTCAGTAACCATAGTTTTATACCCTTCTGTGGGACAGGGTACGTCAGTATCTAAGAGATTTTCCAGTAGATTTATTTTGAAAAATACTTTTGCTAGTAATAATGGAGTAACATTTTATTAGTAAGAGTAATTTCTGTGTTTACATTTTAGAACAGTTTTAGTACTGAATGACTTAGGAATTAGTACCTGATACTTACTCATTTTATGAATAGTTAACTGAGACCCTAGAAGGGATCAGGAATTGTGCTGGGTGCAGTGTGAGCAACAGTCTCTGCCCCCTGGGAATGGTTTCAGCATAAGCTGGGATCAAGTGGTAAACAACTGCAGGAAAGTATATTTATGACCCTAACCTTCGGCCAAACTCATTAAAACCACTTAAATAGGAGGATTAAATCAAATTTAGGTCATGAACTGTGGGGAACCACTTTTGGGAATGCCAGAAAGCTGGAGGTAGAGCTCTCTTTCCAGATAGAGAAATGTGTTATTTCTATCCTCAATTAGAATGTTTTTTTGTTCAAGAACCAGATGAGCCTATTGTGGGCAAAACTGCCCTTAAAACATGTGCACTCGAATGTCCATCAGTGGCTGAGTGGTTAAATTATGGTTTATCCATATAATGGAATAGTATTCAGCTGTAAGGAAGAGTGAAGTACTGATTCATGCTAAAATATGGATGAACTTTGAACACACTTAGGATCTAAGTGGAAGAAGACAGACACAAAAGCCACCTATTGCATGATTCCACTTATGTGAGAAGTCCAGAATAGGCAAATCCATACAGACAGAAAGTAGAGTTGTGGTTGCCATGGGCTGGGGTAGGAGGAACGGGGAGACAATGACTGCTTAATGGATATGGATTTCTTTTGGAGTGATGATAATATTCTAAAATTAGATAGTGATTATGGTTGTACTCCAAATAATACTGAAAACCACTGAACTGTACACTTAATTAAAAGGATGAATTTTATGCTATGTGAATTATATCTCAGTGAGTTCTTCCAGAATGGTGATATAAACCTGAGTATAAAAAAGGGCAGTGACATTGAGGTGTATGCTTTAAAATGGTGCATTTTATGTGTATTTTGCTATAGTCTTTTTAAAAAGGTAGTAACCAGTAAGAATTGTTTGCCTTTCCACTCTGGCAATACCAGGAAAAAAAGGTTTGTAACAAACCACTAGGTTGTTAGTGTGTTTATTTCTGTTTCTGGTCAGCTTCAGATAGCCTGGGGATGGGTCATGGTTTTGTATCTTTTGTCTAACACTCAGTCTAGGTAGTCCTAATTGATGAGGCAGAATGATTTCCAAAGCTGAGAATAAGGAGAACACTTGGACTAGCAGATAGTTACCTGGGTGAGATAGGATAAAAATGCACAAAACTGCTTGAGGTGACAGTAAGGAAAGGATGGAACTGAAAGCAAAATAATGAAGGATGAACGATTGAACCTTTACAATGATAGATCTGATCCTGTTATTCCCCTGCTTAAAAATCGGTTGCATTCTCTTTACAGAATAGCATCTAGATAGATGCCTCAGTAGGCCTCACTCAGGGTCCTTGAATAGCTGCCTTTGTTGGGCTTTTCTGCATTGCCTCAGTGGTCTTCCCTTGTCACTGCCTGACAGAGACCTCATTCTTAAGAGACCCAAGTTATATGTCATCTCTTGTACTTCCAGGGCATTTTGTTTACTTACCTCTGTAAGACCAAGTGTCAACATGTTACAGTAAATCCATCACTCTCTACCATTACTCAAGGATGGGAATTAAACTTTTTTGTCTTTGTAGGCTCCCTGATGCCTAGCATTAGCCTGTCAAATTTACTAGCTGATCTACTGCAAGAGAAGTTCCTCAAAGTACTATTAGTTAATCATTCCATGGTCGCCTTCCTTGCCTTTTAACAAAAGTTCTTCTGTTCCTGATTATTTCCATTTTACAAGTGATTTGTTTCCTTTTCTGACAAGGCAGCATAATTCGTTGTATGAGGCGCCTGGAAGAACTACTTCGACAAATGTGTCAAGCAGCAAAAGCCATTGGAAACACTGAGCTGGAAAATAAATTTGCAGAAGGTCAGTATCCAGCCCATAAGTTTTTTTCTAATAATCTAGGCAAATCTTACTGAGATTTGGGCTCCAGATCACAACCTAGGGGGATATTTTCAGATGCTTTTCACTGGATTGCCATAGAGGGCCATCTAGTAGTGTTCAAAAAAAATAGCAGTGTCTGTTGAAAAAAGTTTGTAAATAAATTTATATAAGATCTCAAAATATTTATTCTGTACTTATTGTGCGCCAGGCATTGTGTTAATAAGCACTAGGGAATACAGCGGTGAACAAAAAGGACAAACTCCTGCCTTGATGGAGCTTAAGTTCTAGTGTTGGGAGGTGGACATTAAACAAGTCAGCAATTAAAATGTATGAGATAGCAATAAAAACAGAGACCGCAGGGAATTGGAGGATGGATGCAATGGCCTAACAGCCCCCACTCAGAATGTGGCATTTAGGCCCTTTGTACATAATTGATATACTTCAGCAACAAGAAGCCCAGTGTGGCTGCAGCAGAGTGAGCAATAAGGAGAAGAGTAGAAGTTGGAGGAAGAAAAGAAATGTCATGTAGCCCCCAATTTTTCCCTCTGAAATGACCAGAGGTTTTGAGCACAGGTGTGGTGTCCCCTGACTTGAGTTTTATAGGGCAGTTCTTGCTGCGCACTGTGGGCAAGTCTGTAGATTAGCAAGATGGAAGCGGGAAACCAGATCCAGAAAGGATAGCCAGACCAAGGTGGTAATAATGGAAGCATACATGCCTGCAAATAATTTCAATCCACCTGAATGTTGGCCACAAAAAAGGACTGAGTTTAAAAACACATCAAAGAAAACAGCAGCCATGTTCTTGCTCTGAGTTGGTTGCTTGCAATCAAACCTAGTGATTTCTGTTACCAACTTAGTCTCCTAAGAGATTTGCAAAAACTGGTTTGTATTTTCACATCAATAAATAGAGGGAGACCTATTTAATCACTCTGGGCTTAAATTTATTTATGTAAACTTCCTAAATAAAATTTGTCCTGCCTTAGTCCAGAAAGAATTTCACATGGTAACTGAAATACAGAGCCTTCCAATGTAGGTTGAGAATTCATGCCTTTGGGTCAACTAACTTCTTTTGACAGCTTTAGTCCTTCCACGTCTTTCTGAATAGTTTTAGACACCCTTTCCCCTACCTTCTCTCCACCCTACTATCCCCCAAGCCCCCACACATGAGGTACTTTAGAGTCAAAAGTCCTAAGAACAGGAACCTGGTTTTTAAGTTTCCCGCTTCTCAGAGATGGCTGTGAACTCTAAGGTATCTTTCAGGCCAGTAGGGTTTTCCGTTTTTCAGGCTGCCCTCTCACCAGTTATGTCAGCATTGTTGTGCTGTCTTTAAAACCCTAGTGGAGGGAATTACGTTCTTTGTGGTCTTAAGTTTTTTTTCTCATAGGAATTGTTTTCTTTTCTCATAGGAATCACCAAAATCAAGAGAGACATTGTGTTTGCTGCCAGCCTCTACTTATAGAGTCGGCTAAAGGAATGTGGGATTTTAAATTGTTCACCACCTGTCTGATTACAGTTGACAGCAAATGTTTACAAGTACTGACTTGGTTTTCCCATCTCAAGACAGTTGTCCTCACATATTTTAATATGTATTATATTTAAGTCAAGCATCATTCTAAGAAAGCATATTACATACACATTTGTACATAAGCATTACATTTTTTAATAAAAAATGTACAGGTGGGGCATTGTTTTAGTGAAAGGCTTGAAATTGTTTTTAATGAACTTGAGCTATTAGATAACCGTTGTGTTAAATGTTAACTATATACACACAGGTAAAGTGGGCATCCAAGAGGTATAGCAGCAGCAGTCCCTTAAAGGTTTATACACCGGGAAGAAAGACGCATCCTCTTGCTTTCTGGTTGCCATCATTTTCCTTTAGAAAGCAGGCCAGCTTCTGCGGGCACTCCACCACCTTTAAGGTTGGTGACTGTTCCGGTAATGATTCCCTGTCGTTGGTGTTTCGTGCAGAGTTGTGTGAGAGTCCTCCTCTTTTCTTTCTTTAAAAGGAGAATTTCTCTCCTTGAAGAAATCAGACACGTATACAGCCTATATAGAACAGGAGACACTTAGAATGGGACAAGCACTTTTAAGTAAGCTTAAAAACCATATTCAGGTTTCAAAAATAAAAGGATACACATTATAGGGTTCAGGTTACGGTTACAAATAAATTAGGGGCTAACAGGAATTTCTGTTTAAGACATTCTGAGAGTTGCTTTATTATGTATTGGGCAAACAAACAGCTTCACTCTGCCAGCCCTTAATGAAAGTGTCATTCTCCATGTAAATTAGGGGTTTTTTTCTTTCAGTTCATACCAAAAAGAAAACTTTATAGCTAGAGATTTTTACAATTAAAAAAGAAACTCAGTTTTTTTTTTTTATAACTTTTGCAAAGAGTACATAACCTACCTCTTCTTTGCTGTCTATCCTAAAATGACTTTTAGTATCATTGGGGTCCTTAACCCAGTGGCAATTACTGAGCCACATTCTCTGCCTTACTTAGCATAGTTTTCTCATTGGGACATTTTTTCCTACTTACTTATCCAAGTGTTTATCAGTATTAAGACATAGGCTGCTGCCCAGTGTACTTACAACTAATACTGCAACCAGAGCTCCTTGAATGAGTCCAGTCAACACATCACTCCAGTGGTGTTTGTAATCAGAAACTCGAGAAAGGCCCACATAAATGGATACAGCAACAAGACCAAATTGCAGTGTGGGGCGTAAGAGTCTTGCCCAGTCTCCCTTCATCCTGGCTTGAAGATAAAGCTAATAGAAAAAATAAGAATAAAGAAAAAAATTTAACACACCAACTAGAGGCTATGTTAAGTATCACCATACCTCTAAAGGGTTGATATTTTAAATGATTAATAGTCATTAAATATTAATAATCAATAAATGTTTTTATTATATATGGAATAGGGCTATAGGCAAGCATTCTTATACTCATTAACACCTAAAAGTTAATCCCCCCCCCAAAAAAAAAAACAATTTCCCTAGTAACTGTGTTTAGAAGGACTGATTACCCATCTATCTAGCTAGACAATTCTTCAAACTGTAAACAAAGCAAGCATTTCTGTGTTTATGACTTCCTTGGATTTCAGGGGCAGCTCCTCCCTCCCCTTCCTATCTGAGTTATAATTCTGCTTCAAAGGCAACTGTTGTCATTAGTTCAGAATCCTGGGATCAGCTGGCATTGATAGTAGCATTCTGAGCACAGGTTGCCCTTACTCCGGGGCAGGCTACTATGTTTTCGGCCTAGCCTATCTTGGAACTAAGTGCTTAATTCACCCAGTTTCCTAGAGAGCTCCTCTAGCTTCAAATTATTTAACAGAGCAACTGAGACTAAACAAATAATCTGTATTTGTAAGTAAATACAATAATCTGCCTAAATAAGTAATACAGTTTGTAGTTTAGTCCTGGGCCAGCATAGGAGTCTACTCTTTCAATAGCACTTGTATCCTTTAAGTTCTATGACTTTTCTATGCACTAATCAGACCTGAGAATTTCCTCTTTCATGTGTCAGCCTGCCTTTGGCTTTGGGTGCATTCCAAAAGACTGTAATGGGGAAGGGATTTGGAACAGTTTCCTTTCAGTAAATCTGGTCTCACTTAAAACAAAATTTTCTCCCCTAATTTCCAGTAAGAATGCACTTTTAAACATTCATTTTAAAAATTCTGTTCAAAAATTTATGACATATACTTAATTAAATGCAGTCCTCAGAAAACAATTTAGTGGCTATGCCCATTGACACTGTCTACTTAAAATAGATGTGCAAATCCATTCCCAGTTCCTTGGGCACTGCTGTATGTTCTGTTCTCAGCAGAGACTCAGAGGTTGTCCAATTTTATCAAGCACTTTATAGTATAAGCATCTAATTCTAAAAGAGCATACCAGCTGTTTAACTGAGTTGGACTCATTAGCTGCCTGAAGTGCTCCTGCTTTCTGCAGAACTCTCCCTCTTTTCTGTTTGTTGTTGCTGAAGCTATAAAAAAGTAAACAGTAAGAGGCTTGTCTCAAGATTCTGGAATTGGGAAGATAGCTGGTGCTGGTTGAAGCAAAGTTGGCATCTGCCAGCTGAAGCCAGTTAGATAGCACAGCCATGCCAGATAAGAGTCACCTCATTAGTTCCATTTTAACTGGAAACTTTTTATTCATTTTAAGGAGAATAGTTCCTTGACTGGGGCTGAAGCCAAGTTTTGTATATTACTGTCCAAAAGTTTAGCTGTCCCCATTCTGGTTATTAAGTTACTTTTCTAGATAACAGTTAAAGGCATGGGTTGGTTATTCAGACTATAAAAATAGATACCTAGAAATTACAAATACTTACATGAATGCAGACATCTTAGTGAGAAATGCACCCATCCCTACTGGGGACAGCAATAAAAAACAACTCTAAAATGGACTTAAAGCTAGTCCTATTTTATACTTCCAACGTAAAAGAAACTCAGAGAGAGAACCTTCAAGGTCCTTCCTCACTTAGGATTCTGAAATCCCTCTAACAGTATTTTCCTTTCAAAGAACCCTGACTTTGACTCAAGGCAGCCTGCAGACCTATGTTAAGTATTGTTTTGCCCAAATCTCTTCCTCAACATCCCTGGGAAAACAGCATTCACTTACAGATCAGTAATCAAGTAAGTTGCAGTATGCTTTAGGTGGAACCTCTGTTGCTCTAAGTAGCTAGTTCTTAGACATCTACCCAAATATAGATGGTTCCCCCATGTCTGTGGACCCAGAGATTATTTCTCCCTGAGTGGGTTCTGGGGTTCCTCGATTGTGATTAGACCTAACCTTATGCTCCACTCTGCACCCTGGGTTCTCCCGTGACTGATGGCCGTGGCTTGAGTGCAGGCTGTGGTCACAGAACAATCCTGCACTCGGTGAGGCTGGCTAATTGAGTGTGCTTCCAATTTGCCTGCTCTGTTTCCCCGGGTCCAGGATATCTGATGCAGCTCTGCAAAAGCCGGGCACCACCTATAGCCCTGCTCTTCCCTGTGAAGACGTTTCCACTTCAGTAGACCCCAAGGGGGTAAACATACTGAGTTTCTTGAACTTTGGGTCACCTGAGTTCCACAGCTGACATGCCCTAACTCTGGACCATGATAACTCCCCTCCCATGTTGCCAGCCAGAAGTCTCCTATATAAGCAGGTCCAACAAAGCACACAACACTGTCTTTCTGGCGGCTCCATGTCCTAAGCCGTTCTCAGGTTCTGCAGCACAAATCTCCCACCCTCTAGAGGCACTAGAGATTTCGCTTCCTCTGCCACTCACTTTAACTGCTTTCCAAAATCTTACCATCTCCTTTTTCATCTTCTGACTTTGTGGATTTCTTATTTTTTGTTTTATTCCTTGTCCCTTGAGAGGGGAGAGGAATGTATATATGTTCCTTTATAAAGAAGTCTCCATTCTTCCACCTTTCCCAACCTGTCTCAGAGAAACTGAGTATCATGCTGCTCAGCACTGGTGAATTAGAACCAGATGCAGGGATACAGCTCATTCTTTAATGCCAGAGCTGATAGTAAGGCTCTATAGGGTCCTGCCTTTTGCAGCTTCCACTCTTCCCCTTCCTCACTCGTGCAAATGTTAACCATGTATGTACTAGACTCATTCAGCGTCAGGTACTTGCTTGCTTCTCTCTTAAGATTTAAAAGAACTTAGCAGAACTCCATATTCAATACTGTGTATGCTACCAGACAGGCTCCCTGGCAGTGTCTACGACTTTTCAAACTCCCTTTCTGGAGGATGTTGCCCATCCACGGACAGAGCTGAAAGGGTAGCTCTGTTTAGACCACACAGCCCTGCCTTCTTTTCTGAGGCCACTGGGCAGGTGACATGACAGGCCTGACCCAGAGATCTGCTGGGCTGTATTACCCTCTGGGATTTATACTTGAAGTATGAAGGAGGGTCTCTATTTTCAGAAGTTTTGGAAAGGGCTCCTAATGGATACATGCAGCTACTTGCAAACTAAAGAGGAAGCAAAAGCTAAGGTTAGACAAGGAGAACAGGTATTTAACAGAAAAGAATGGAGCAGAATGGCAGCCACACTGTAAAAACCCAGGTGGCCAAAGAGACACGTGGAGAAAGGGAGCTCAGTTCCAAGTGGTGTGCTAGTTCTTACCCACGTGGGCCTTTCCTCTAGACCATCCTCTCCTCTAGGAGGGCTTAGCAGGTCAGCTGCTTACAACCAAAAGATTTCAAAAAGCCTATTAACAGCCTTCTGTATGTTTAACCAAAATCCTGTTTTGTTTTGCTTTTTAATTTGGATTTCTGTGACTCAAATGATACAAAGTTACTTTTTTAAAAGGCAAGCTTCAAATGAGAAGGAAAACTTTATATACCTGCATTCAAACAGTGAGAAAAAGTTAGAAAAATTAAATCTCACATCAGAACGAACATACTGAATGTCCACTGAAGGAACAATGACAAGAGAACTGGGGCATGGGATTTACTTCTATGACTTTTTTCTACAAACAGTACAAGGATGTGAGCCCCTAAATCATATGACTCTCTCTCTCTCTCTCTCTCTCTCTCTCTCTCTCTCTCTCTCTCTCTCTCTCTCTCTCTCTCTTGCTGTCCCAGGCTAGTTATAAGATTCTTCTCTGACCGCGCTTCACTTTGTCCTAGTTCACTGACTTGTCTAATGGGTATTTGATGGGGGATGGGGGTAGAGGGAGTAGGGTAACTGCTTGATGAGAAATTCTAACCTCTGGATCCCTTCCAATTCTAACATCCAACTTTCTGGTGAAGCAAGAAGCTCCAAAGTAGGAAGTTCACAACTAGAAATAAAAGACAGGGTGGAAAAGGCAGAACAGAAGCAGTAACCTGCAGCTCTTCACTGAGGTGCTCCCCAGAAGCAAAGGCTTCGCACTATGTTAGTACAGGCTTCATGAAGCCCCAGTGCATGACAGCAAGCAAAAGGAACAAAGGGCTCCAAATGCAGCTGGCAGGTTTTGTAACTAGGGCAAACAGAAGCCCAGTCACCAACCAGTGGAAGATTTCTTGGTTGAGGTAAAGCTGCAGGTAAAAAAGAGCGTCTAATTTAGGGATTTACACTGAGGTGGATTTGCAGTGATAACTGAGTTTTCAAGAGGGGAAGCAAAGGGAATTAATACAAGGGTTAGTTAGCCCAGGACAGAGTGGATGGGGGAGAATCCCCAGTTAGGTACCCAAACCAGAAAGTGCTTGCTTATTAGAAAGGATGACCTCGTATGCCTACCTCCCTCACAAATTTGAGCACTGTTCTGAAACGTTTAAGAGGACAATCATGTTTATAAAAAGAACCCCTGAGCCTGTCACTAGTGTCAGCCCTGCTATAACATCCAGGAAAACGCAGGAGGCCTTGCATTTGCAAGAGACAAACTGAGAATGAAGAAGAGTTAACAGGAAAAATGAAAATACAGCATATGCTTCACTAACCTTTACACTCCTCCCTCCCCCCATTTTCACCTATTAAAAGCGGCAGAGTAGACAGATACCACAGGAGGACATGATAGGGAGAAGGAATACAACCTCAAGGCCTCAAAGGAAACTGCAGTGAGGCCTGTCTGTCCCTCCCTGTCTTGAATCTGACCAACGAGTCAAACCATGAGCTCAAGCAAATCAGGTACAACCACTGACAGCATAGCTCGGTTTCAGAAAGAGAAACTAGTTTGGAGAACTAGCCTTACAGCTCAACCAGTATCCTCCAGGCACCACTACTGGGCCCTGTGAAAAGGGAGGTTTCAGGGGTTGTTTTACCTCCAAGAAGAGCAAACTGAGCCACCTCCTCCAGATAGGGCTTCTGGTCAGGAAAGCCCCACATAAACCCTACTGCTCAATGCAGGGTAAGTGTCCAAGCTCTCCTAGCAAAGTAAAACCTACCAAAAACGGGTTGAAAATAAGCCACTATGCCTGATGCTTTTAAAGAAATAAAAGCTTCTTAGCTGAAATATTATTAGAGGTTCATAAAGGTAATTTTTTTTTATTCCTTTGGGCAAGAAGGACAGAAGGAGTCAATTTGTTCAAAATAACTAGATACACAAGCTCAGAGAGGAGGGTTGTAGGAAGAAGCTCCACGAGGCTGGCAGGAAATGCTTCACTGCCAAGTGCAGAGAGGCCCTCGCCCAAACACAGAACCTAACACTTGTGTATCACTTCATGAAGCGCCTCACGATAGTTTTATGTGCACAGAGAAGACCTGGTCAAGATCAACAGGACTTACTGCACAGGGCCATGTTGGGAAAAAATTATGTGTACATATTTTTCCTTTAGTATAAAAATTATATTTACTTTTTTTTAAAAAAAATAAGGAAATTCAATGTCTATGACAGTACTTAGGCATTCTTCCCTTGTTTTACTATCACCAAAGGGTAGGACATAACTTTTTTTTCATAAAACTTCTGAACAAACATTCAGCTTCCATTTAAGGATCTAGTTGTACAATCCCATTTTTAAAATCTAATTGTTGAACAAGATATTTTTTGAAGCTGTCTTATTTTTATTTTGCCTTTCCTGACAGACTTTGCAACACTCATCTACAAAGTGCTATGAAGTCTCTTAATACAGACATACGTTGGAGACAGTGCAGGTTCTGTTCCCGATCACTGCAATAAAGTGAATATCGCAATAGAGTCACGTGAATTTTCTGGTTTCCTAGTGCATATGCAAATTGTGCTTATGCTATACTGTAGGCGATAGCATTTTGTCTTAAAAAATGTACATACCTTAATTTAAAAATACTTTATTGTTAAAAAATGTTAACAGTCATCTGAGCCTTCAGCAAGTTGTAATCTTTTTGCAACAGTAATATCAAAAAGATCACAGATCACCATAATAAATATAATAATGAAAAAGTCTGAAATATTTTGAGAATTACCAAAATGTGACAGACACAAAGTGAGCAAGCACTGTTGGAAAAATGGTGCTGATAGATTTGCCTGGTGCAGGGTTACCACAAACTTTCAATTTGCAAAAAACACACTATCTGTGAAGCGTGATAAAATGAAGCACAATAAAATGAGGTCTACCTGTACTCTACTCATTTTAAGATAAGGGGGCTCCCCCCCCATTTTCATTTAGAGTCAACAGATCGTTTTCACATTTTTATACGGTTATTTGAAAAAAAGACAGTGAGACTGAGATTGCATCTGGCTTACAAAGCCTAAATACTATCTGACCTGTGACTGAAAAAATCTGCCAACCCCTGAACTAGACTGACAACAGTATGCTCAACACAGAAATATACCTTGGTCTACTTATTTTGAAACATCACTTCTAAAACCAAGCCAGGTAAACCAACGGATTATTCCACCTTCATTTGATGAGAGACCTGGCCAGGAGAGAGTACTGTACGGCAGGCCTCAGTTTTGTCTTCTCTAGACTTTAATGTCACCATCTTTAGGAGTCACAGAGTTCCTAAATTTAAATCTCAAATCCCACGTTAAAATTAGGCAGGATTCATGTAGTTTATGGGCCATTTCCCAATGCTCAGCATTAATCCACACTTTGGGAAACATCTTCATGAAGTATCAACAGTGCTAGGTAGTGTATGGTCAATGCCAGATGAGGGATCATACGAATCCTGAGAAAAGGAGGTGGCATCAGAGCATCTGAGTAAGACAGAATTTGGGGGGGGGGGGAGGCCCAGATACGAGGCATTTTGTGACTGGAGCGGGGAGTCAAGCTGAAGCACGGACACTGAAAACTACTTAGGGCCCCACTGTAGTAATTTACACAGAAATGTCGTAACAGGCAGTGATATAAACAATGTGGGGTTTTGGCCTCAATATGACAGTGCTGGGAAGTGTTCTGGTATATTCCTTACTGTACAGAAAAAAGGACAGTCTCATTCCATGCGTCTTTTCCTGAATAATTGAGTGAATTTGGAATTTGGGTTCACTAAGCACATCAAGTGGCTAAATGCAAAGCAGCTCTGCCCTCTGTTCCCCCACAAAGGTGGTTTTCACAGGTCTGACTCCTGCCACTGTAAAGTGTGCAGTGCTTGGCTACCTGCCAGAGGAGAACAATGGTCTGGGTATTTTCTTTAAGAGACATTTTTAACTAAAAGTTAATTTCTGGGTGTCAGGAATTCTTGACAGGGAAGTTTTGGCTACCAAAGACTGTCCTCAGAGAGGATTTAAATGACTGTACATCTCCACCCAAATCTGGGGCTTACCCTTCATGCCAAGATGCCTAAGGGAACAAGATGAGTCATTGCCTAAGGAATCTGGGGGAGGGGAGCAGCGGTTAAGTGTTGTATATAAATGTGAAAGCTGGAAAGCAAGGAGACATCTGTGTGTTCAGGGGCTGTAATAAAAGCTGGAACCTACATCCACATCAAGTAAATCTTTCCACTGCTTAGTCAGTGAAATGCACTGCATGGCTGCTCTGAACTGCCTGCTTCTCCAGAAAGGCCATGGTCTATAACAGACCTATTTATCTTAATTTTTTTATTATTATACCTTTACATCTAAATGGCTCATAATGACCCAAATGCTACACTTGAGGTCATTTGCCCTCTGCTTATATCCCTTATTTGCCTCCTCATTTGCTCCTGGATGGCCACAGAGCAGACTAAGCCATTGAGCCCTCTACACATTAATTTCATCCTCTATACATTAATTTCATATTCCACAAAAGAGCTCAGTAAAACTTCCTATTTAAACAAATATACAGATGTTTTAAGAAAGGTCAAGGGAGCAAAGAGCAAAAGAAATAAGACATGGAGTATGACACATCTGAGAATATTACTTGAAATTAAAAACCATGGGTTGAAGTTACATGTCACCATTTTACTTTCAGAGATCTGCATCACCTCACCTTCTTCAAAATAACTAGACTGGAGTTCAGAGCAGGTAAGCAACAAAGCAAGGGAGCCTGATCAACAAGACATCACCTGACAGCTTACAGACCTCAGCAGCCTTCTCCCAAGGCCTCTATTTCCCCCTCTGTAAAAGGGTAGCCGGCATCCCCCTCTCCTACTTCATGGAGGCTACAAGAAAGAGTCAAAACTTAGAGCAGTGTTAATGTGAGTCATCATTAATAGCAACCAAACCTCAGATTCTCAGGTCTCTCATAAAGGACTTAAAGATACTGACACACAGGTGAGTGAATAACCAACCACAAAAGCTGCCCTGGTGATGTCTGGTTCTGGGGCTACAGACATTCAAAAGCCATTCAGTGCAGTCACAAACTCATGCTTTGGAAAAAGTTTTCAGAATATATTAATGGCTGTAGCCACTGTCGGCATTCCCTTTCTCCCCTAGTCCCCATGTCCTATTTAAAAAGAAAAAAATATGGTGGCGTCCTTTTGAAAGAATGGTAACTTTTCCTAGTACGATAAATGAACAGAGGATGTTAGAATAGTATTTGTTGTTACTACCTTCAAGTAAGTCACATTTCCCATGGCACATTTTCAGAAACATTTGGGTGAGTATTTTAAAAAGGAAGCCCTAAATGCCGCTGAATTGGTACCCTGTTGCTTCCTCACAAAATTAAATTAACATACGATTAAAGCCTGCAACTTCCAAAAATGTTGAAGAAGCCAAAAATTAACTCTTCTGGAACGGTTTTGAAGTTGTGGTTCTGAATTTTATATAATACATCTGCAATTTTTACATTTCACAAACTTTTGTTTGTTTGTTTAATGGAGGTACTGGGGATTGAACCCAGGAACTTGTGCGTGCTAAGCATGGGCTCTACCACTCAGCTGTACCCACTCCCCCCAAATTTTATGTTCTTTTAACTTTTTGAATTTGGTTTTCCAAATAAAACCAAGATTCTGATAAATCTGATTTTAAATTCTAAATAAAACCAAGTAACTCCCAGCAGGCTACTCTTAATCTTACACATCATGACTCTTTAATCCATATCATGGATTTAATACCACACAGTGCTTAATGTGATGGGGGGGTGGGCAGGGTCCCAAACAGCAAATTTATATACCACAACTACAGAAAAATCCACTTATAAAGAAAATCAAGACAAAAATTATAGCTGATCTGGTGGGTACAGATCTCCCTCTTCCCACCAAATTTTGATCATTTTATATATACAGAAAAATAGGACAGTATAAAAAACAAAAGAATTAAGTTGACCTTTAAAAATCGCTTGTACGTGCCCTAAAGCCTAGTCTTCCATTAGTTACTCTTGATACACATTCATCTCCAGTTTGATATGCAAAATACAGGTGCCAAGCCTCTCTTTGACAAAGTGAAGAGTTGACTTTGTACAACGTGAGTGCAGTCAGAACTGGACCTGGAGACTGCAGACAAGCTCCTGACGCAGCAATTGGCTCTTCCTGAGTTGAAACCTTTCTAGCCCCATGGAAAGCAGTCTGGGAAATGTTTCAGAAAGTGGAAGGAAAATAAAACCTGCTCAAATAGGAGCAACAGCCACAGCCACAGCCTTCACTTCAGATAATCCAAACTCCTCACCCAGCAGGCCCCAGGGGGATGCCAGGCTGCTCAGCACCCACACCATGCAGTTGTGGCCTGGGCTCTCAGGGTGAGGTACCAGGCGTAGCAGTCACCTTGGTCTGTATCTCAGATCAGTGACCTGCTGAGCCTACACAGAAGCTATTATATGTTCCAGAAAAACTCTTCAGAAAATCTGTCCCAAAGTAAGGGCACACGTCACTTAATTCTTAGCCCCAGGTGTGCAGGTTTGCTGATTGTTTAGGCCTTTACCACTGTCAGAAAACAATCTGCTTTAAAAATAAAGGCTCCCTAATTACCCGGAAGGTTCCCAATTTGCAGCTTGCTATACAATTTGCCTGTGTGCTTCCTCTAAATGAAGGACAAAGGTAGCTTTAAACAATTGCAACTGGCTTTGGCAAAAGCACAGGCATCCATTCCTCCTCTGAACTTACTGCAGCCAGCAGTGGGGTCCAGCTGACTGAGAAGTGAAGCCAATGAGAATGTCAGAAGTGGCTACACAGGAGAGGACACAAAGGCTGAACACAGAGTGTACGCGGGACATAACCCACCATCGACAGACACAAAATACTTACTGCCACGAACAGCATGCAGTACATGGAGAATGAAGAGTGGCCCGAATAGAAGGACAATCTAGAAGAGAAAGGAGACAGACATTAATCTTCTTTCCTAGAGACCGAGAATATTTTTGATTTCATGTATCTTCTTACCTCCCCAGCGTACAGAGCTTTGTCCCCTTACCTTTAGAAATTAGAGGGGTGTGTAGGGGACAGTTAGGACAGGAACATGAAAAAGTAAGTCTTAGGAGGGTCTGAGGTCTGATTTCTACAGTGTCACTTTACTGAAAGTTTCAGGATCGGTAATGATTCATTGAGGGCAAACTTACCTAAGCATTTCTAAAGTAATGCATGACAAGCCCTAACTGGCTCAAATGGCCTGACTTTAAAACTTACATGACCATGATTTAAGTTTTATTTTCCTCTGAAAAGAGTTTATCCCTGAATAACACCAATAAATATCTTCTTTGGAACATTCAGAAGTTGACTACTTTTTAAAATTTTTTAGATTTATTTTTCAGTGATATTTGTGCATCTTGCCTTAGATTTCCCACCAGATTAAGTGCTTTTGTTTGACATTAATTTTTAAATTGTACACTGATAGATACTCCTGAACCAGATGAATCATCTCTTTCAATATTATATTTTATAAACATCTAGGTATCATCTTCCCCACCTAAAAATGACAGAATGCTTATAAAGCTTAATTTTATAGTACTTAAGAACAAAACCAACAGGGACATCTTCTTAAGTATTTCATTTACTATGCCCTGCTTGGTTCAAAAGGAATTTGGTTCCCCTGTGATTCAGAGAGGAGGAAAGACTCCAAAAACACATACCAGAAAGTCACGTGTGGGTGTGTTTGGCAACTGAGAGGAGGTAGGAAAGCAGAGATTTCCTAAGCATATATTGATGATGAGTCTACCAAGAATTATGATAGTCTTTTTTTTTATAACCAGATACATTCTGAAGAAAGAGAATACTCTTAACTTTTGCTAACCAGAATTTATGTAATCAGACTTGATAACTATTCTGGGTTTAACCTATGTAAAACAAACACAAATAAATAAATAAATAACTTTAAGCCTTACCAACTGTTTGGCTGTAGAGAGCAGATCAATACAAATTCTTATTTTAAATCAGGTAATTTGAGCAGAATTCTGTATATTTTATGGCTATTTTCAATTAGTTACATTGAAAAGCCTACAGTTAATAAAAAAGCAGTTTCCAAGACTGTCAAATCCCATGGAGCCAACATGACCATGATCACAGAAATGTTCACAAAAGTTTCACAAATAACCTTCTAATCATCTAACTGTTCGTCCCCTACCACCCAACTTTCTTCCTTTCCTCCTCCCAACTCACAAAACAATTAAAATATGAAAAACAGTTACATCTTTAGCTATTCTTTGAGTTTGAAAATGTCCTTATTTTGCATTGATTCTTTTTTCTTACTGAAGTATAGTCAGTTACAATGTGTCTACTTCTAGTGTACAGCATAATATCCCAGTCATGCATATACATACATACATTCGGTTTCATATTCTTGTTCATTAAAGGTTATTACAAGATACTGAATATAGTTCCCTGTGCTGTACAGAAGAAATTTGTTTTTTTTAATCTATTTTTATATATATTGGTCAACATTTGCAAATCTCAAACTCCCAAATTTATCTCTTCCTACCCCCTTTCCCCAGTAACCATAAGATTATCATGTCTGTGAGTCTCTTTTGTAGATGTGTCCATTAGTGTCCTCTTTTCTTTTTTTAAAAATTCTTGAATGATGATACTCTCAGTATAGAATTCTAGGTTGATGGTTTTTTTCTCATCACTTTGAGGATGCTGTTCTACGATTCCTGGCTTCTACTTCTGCTGTTAAAATATGAGCCATCTGTCTGCCATTCCTTTCTGGGTTATCTGTCTTTTCTCTGTCATTGCTTCCCCTACCCTCAAAGTCTTCAATATTCTGTAGTTTCACTATTATGTCTCTAGTATCAATTTCCTTTTATTTATCTGGCTTAGTATTCATTGGCTTCCTATGTCTGAGGATTTGTATACTTCACCAATTTTGGACAGGTCTCAGTCATTATATCTTTGAATATTATATATCCTCCATCCTATTATCCTTTTCGGAGATTCTGATTCAACGTTAAGACATTTTCATTTTATCCCTCCATATCTGTTAACCTTTCTTTTGTATTTTTAATCTTGGTCTCTTCCAGTCTAGCTTCCTTCCCTTTCACTGTGTCTTTTCTGCTTAATCTTTTTTTTTAATTTAAAAAATTTTACATAAATATATGTATCATTTATAGAAGATCTCTTTGGATGTTTTGCAAATCTGCCTGGTCAATTTTAATTCTCTTCATCCTACATCACATTCTCAGTCTCTTCTTACTTATTTCTATACAGCAAATATACTGATTTTATAACCTATAGGGTAATATCTGCAATCTTTGAGATTTTATGTACTTTGTTTTATCTGCTGACTCTCAGAATAGATTGTATGTTCATTTATATTAGACTATGAGCTCATGTTCTTGGGATTCCATGTGTGGGGAATCTTAGATGCCTTGGTTTAAAAAGAATTCTTCCAGAAATATGTGTCCTCTTCTGCTGGACTCACTACCAATCCACTTGAAACCTCTAATTTTTTTTTTCTTTAAGCCACATAGATAGTATACATTCTGGCCTTCGAAGAGCTTGCGCGTGGTACTGTGGTTAAGAATTCTTTTTGATAGTTCCTCCTAAGCGGATGTTACCCTTTGAGAGCCCTTATATTATCCACGGGCCTTCTGCACTCTGGCCTCAGCCTTCACCTCCTGTGCCCCGTGTTCAGAGCTGATCAAAACTCAGGCTCCAGGCTACCAGGAGCTTTCAGGGCACACATCAAATCTATAACATTAATTGATCCCAGCCTCATAAAATTTCCTTTACTGTGCCACCAGCTCAGCTATTTATTTAAAAGATTTACATGTGTTTTAAGATTTATATATATTTTAACATACAATACAAAGATGTGCATAAGTGTGTGTGATATATTATCTAGCACATTTAGTTGAACTGTATCAGTAAGCATTTCTAATCCTCCATATTGCCATAAATAGAAGCAGTCTTTTTTAAACAAGACTTAGGACTAATAAAACGTCATCTAAAATAAACTGCTTTACTAGGAGACACAATAGTTTGGCAGAAAGTTTGATTTTAATTATAAAGTGGCCAGCACTCACAAATGTTTCCAATTATTACTATTCCACCAGTTCACTGGGAATGCCCAAGCGGCTCTGTTGCAAATTAGAAAAACTTCCTTTTCCCCCTAAAACTCATCCTAAAATCGATTCCTAAAGCATTCTAGAGCAGAACAGTTGTCAAAAGACTGTTAATAGATACACGCTTCTGAGTACCTTCTATGTGCAGGTACTTAATACACAGTATTTCCACTCTTTACAAAAACCCCCATAATAGCAACTGTCAATCTTATTTTACACATAGAGAAAACTGAACCTCCCAAAGGTTCAGCAACTAGCTCAAAAGTCACATCTCTTTGAGGTTTAAATCTGAGTCTTCCCAACTCTTCCCCATGTGCCATGATTCCACTGCTGTGAATGGCAGGCCAGCCCAGCAAAAACATTAATCCTGCCACCACCTCTAGGCAGGGAACACCCAACAGGAAGAGCAGGAGTCACTGCTTATACATGGTAACACGTTGTGAAGTCGATATAAGCAGAACTTAGACAACTATGCAAATTATAAATGCTGTCTGTGTGTAAACAATCATCTAAAGAGAATTCTAATTTGTCTTTTTTACAGTCTAAAGGCCAAATAAAAGGAAGTTAAATTTCAGAATGAGGCATTTTCTTCAAATGTTATTTCCTGATTATAAAATTTACATAACAGCAAAATAACTTGAAGGACATGATAGATTTCTCTTCTGTGATAATCTTTAAACAAAGACTAATGCTGTAAACAAGTTAAAATATGTCCCACACAAATGAACACAGGAGGGATGACCCTTAATAAACAATTTCCCTAGTATTCGTCCTATTTTATTTCAAGCAGGATTTTTACAACCAATAACTGTACTAAGTGCTTAAGCAATGAGATATCAAGTTATAATCTTAAAAAAAAAACTCACATCTAAGATACTTGGAGAATCAAGTAGGTTGTGAAATGGGAAAAATGGGTACATTCATACTGCACTGACGTGAGCACACACTTTTCAGAAGGTGGTCTGGTAAGATCTATCTAAATGTATCCATCTATATGTAAAACCAATATATTTTTTGACCCAGCAATTCCACTTCAAGGCATCAAGGATCCTAGACAAACATACACAAGCACAAAGATGTTTGCTACACCACTGCTGGCAACTCAAGGACCTGAGAGAATGGTTCTATCACTATTCTTCTGAATACTACAAGTCAGCTAAAAGGAATTAAATAACTATGTGAACTGACAAAAAGTTATCTCCAGGATATGTTTTAAAATGTCATTTATGTAAACCACATAAAACTATATAATTCCACATTCAATGTAAAAATACATAGAAAACAACTGAAAGGATACATAAACTGTTAACAGTGGCTCTAGGGAAAACTATCAAATGGGGACTGAAAAAAACTTTCACATTTTATAGTAATAATATTAGAAACACAACCTGAGTAGGGATTATGTAATACATATATATAAATATTTTAAATGGTAATCAAAATATCTTTGATATGCCTGCTACAAATTTCGTACAAACCCCTTCCCCAATAAACACACACACACACACCCCAACTCCTCTTACTGAGCAATAGTTTCCCTGAGAGCTGCTCTGCCAAGCGTCCTATGATTTGGAGTACAAATGCAGCTCCCTATCTACAAGTTCATGCCCTGAACCCAGCAGTGACTTAGGCCCTGGAAGCCTGTTTCCACATCTCTCAATGAAAGGTGTGGACTTTTATACGTATTTTTAAATATCATAAGTTGTGTTTCCAATAAAAAATGTATCACACAATTTAAAACCACTTAAACTCAGTATATTAACTCTGTGCTTATTACAAGCAGCAGAACCACTAAACATGTTACGTTAAG